GCTCATCAACAGGTCAAACTGCATAAAGTTTGTGAACAGCGACACCCACAGGATAGATGGAGGAAGTGCAGTTTTTATGGTTTTTTTTGTTTCTAAAAACGGACTAGTTTTAAAAATGTTGTTTTTTTATTTTACATTTTGTTGTCCTGACTCTCCATATTTGAAGTTAAACTTTAAATTGGGCTTTTTTTGTGTGTGGAAAAAGTAGTCTTTGACCTAGGTTATTTAGTGCAGATGTTCAGTTTTCTACTTTTTCATGTTTTTTATTTACAGCCATACACAATTTTTACACCATAAAGCATACAGACACTGTCTTCTTTTTTAATATCACAAGTCGTTTTATGATAAACACCGTCCCTGTCTATTTGCYTTTTAATAGTTTTTCAAATCATCACACAAAAGAGCTGTTATTTTTTTCCAAGATGTTTATTTTAACCTGTTGGTTTATACAAAAAAAAATCCCCATCAGCTACCGTTAGAAATATATTACCACTCATTTTATTCAAACTATTTTCTATAAAGACACAATTCTGACTGCAAACGCACATAAATATCATGCAAATCAAACATTTCTTTAAGAAATAAAACAGCAACAAAGTGGACACGTGCTGAATGCCTCAGCAGTGAGGGTAGGAGAGCAGGAGACTCTCAGCTCTTAAAGGAGCAGCGCTCAGCCATGGAGGAGGACAGAGAGGAGTTCCTGAGGCCTGCAGGAGCGTTGGCACCAAGCAGACGCTTGGATTTGACACGAGCTGGTTGAACCGCAGGCCGCTGTGAGGTGTGAGCGACAGGTCCAGGTTCGGCTGACCCACAGGAGGAGGTCTGTTCATGATGCTGTCGATGCTGAAGGAGCACTTCGCCTGCGCGCGGGGCTTTGGCTCTGTTGCGCACGGCCGCGCACCGGAGTGTCCGGGTCCGTCGCTCTTCCCGTGACTGTTCAGAGGAAACGGGTGACAGGAGGAGGGGGCCATGGTGACGCCATCCTGCAGGGGTATGTACCGAACTGCAGCGGCGGGTGTGAGGTTCGGCGGGCCTTGCTGATACGGCCGGTAGCAGCTGAAGCTGGAGTAAAACATCACRCCGTCGTTGCCAAACTCGGGTTGGCTCCTCTTGAAGCGCTTCCTGCGGCGAAGGAAGCTGCCGTTATCGAACATGTCCTCCGAGGCAGGGTCCAGGGACCAGTAGTTGCCTTTGCCAGGATTCCCAGGCTCCCTCGGGATCTTGATGAAGCAGTCGTTGAGGGAGAGGTTGTGTCTGATGGAGTTCTGCCACGCGGGGAACTTCTCTCTGTAGTAGGGGAACTTGTTGCTGATGAAGTCGCAGATGCCGCTCAGCGTCAGCTTCTTCTGCGGGCTCTGCAGGATGGCCATGGTGATGAGCGCGATGTAGGAGTAAGGAGGCTTCACCGAGCCGCTCGGGACCTTCCCGGACGTCGGAGCGCCTGCGCAGAAACTGCTGTCACTTTCCCCCGAAGAGTCCGGCTCCGAGGAGTCAAACTCAGCACCGGATTCTGCAGAGGATCCAGGGTCCGCAGCGCATCCGTTTCTGTACAACCCCGTCTGGATAGACTCTTCTTCACCTAATGCATGCACCTCATCCTCCTTTAGAGGCAGTCCGGGATGATGTGAGGCTTCAGAGTCGCCGGTCAGAGTCATGGTCGCGGTCGCGACGCCCAAAAATCCTCTAAAAACTCAACTGTGCCAAAACGGGCGCCACAGTTTGTCGTGCGTAAAAGCGCACGAGCAGCACTGATGTTTCCTGGGAGCTGAGGTTTTATATATTCTTGCAGACTGCTGCCCTCCAGGCCAGTCCCATTAGTCCCTCGGACCTATCAGAGCCCCTCAGTACGGGGGGCCACAACAAGGCGGGGTGGGGGGATGTGCGAGGTTCGTGCGCAAAAGCTTATTTACGCACGAAAAAGAAAGGCCGCTTGTGGCATATTGTAATTAAGCCAATCTGTCATTTTAATTTCATTTTCTCATACAAGTTAATAAGATGTTAGGAATGCAAGGCAACAATCAAAGTAATCTCTGGGGGGTTTTATAACACTCCACCAAACTCTTTGTAAGAAACCAGGAGTTTTCAGTGGCACCCCTCAAGGTTTCGTTTAGTTTGCCACCACTGGATGTCCGCAGGTGGGGTGACCGTGGCCGCGGTAAAGATTCCCACAGCTGTGTGGTCCTCAGGAGGGCATCAGCATCAGAATGGAGAACAGTTGCAGCTGCAGGATGCGCTCACAACAAAACCAGCTTAACATCTCAAAGTGGGACAACTACACCTGTTTCAGTGTGAATAGGAGTTAAATAAAGAAGACAAATATTTTTAAACTTAGGAACAACTGCAAGATATAACAGGTATTAGAAATGTAAAGAAATAAAGCACTATTTTAAAGAAATTTTGAGTTTTTACTAAAAAATAAAATAAAAACACGTATATTCAAATCATCAAATAAAAATTTAAAACTGAATCTTTGTGAAACAAAATCTCTGAATGTATATATGGATGCAAAATGTTCTATAATAAGAGCTAAAATGATAATTTCTCATTCAGAATAAAAGTGACTTTACCAATTTAATTTAGTCTGAAGAAACCAGGTTTTCTAAAAGTTGTTCTGTTGAGTTTTTATTGAAATAAAGACAAAAAATCCAAACTCAGAATAAACTTTTATTTTGAATAATTTAGAAATGCAGAACTGATGAAAAGCAGACATCAGCAAAATGATTCAATCACAACTCAGTCATTGTTAATCTAAAAAAAAATACAAGATGTTGATTGCATTTTTGGGGCATGTTTTGAGTGCTGAAACATTTTCTTCTCCTTTTTTTTTTTTTTTTGGAAGTTGTACAAAATTAATGTTTCAAATTACAGCACACTCTTCCAAACTGAAGCCTTTAAAGCAGGTTTGTGATAAAATTCCTTCAGCCTGCCTCTGAAAGCTCTCTCAGCTTTACCTGCTGCAACTTTTACAACAAAATCCTCCTTTAATATGAAGACAAAAGAAGCACTTCTAACTATTTCTGCCCTGTATTCAGCACCACGGAAGAAATAAAATGTTCCTGCAGGATGTCCTTGTTCAGATTCCTACCTGCAAAGCAAAAGAAAGAATGAACCCAGGAGRCTGTGCACAGATATTTTTATTTTTTTGATGTTTGCTGCCTGGCTAAACTCAAAGAAACTTAAAAAATAAAACCTCCAAATCTGCGCATGAACAACATAAAATATTTTAAACGTTGCARGAAGATAAACAATTTGAACAATCGTGTGCATACCTATAAAAACTAGTCTGTTGATACGCGAGTTTGCCTCCCAAAGCTGTGGCGTCTCATTTAACTCGTATAGCTCGTGGACCCCCTGCAGCATCACTTGGTGGGCTTTACCTGCGAGTGACACTATGCCCTGAAAACACACAAGTCACGAGTGAAACATTAACCAGCATCAACTCCATCATTCAACGTGTCGAAAGACGGTCTGTCATCGGGGAACTGGCTTTGCTGTACCTTTAACCGGATGACTGTCATGGGTTCCCCTTCTTTGTTCCGGAACTTCTTTTCCCAAAGCAGATCCTGAAACGGAGGTTTTTGCTGTTCAAACAGCTTTACCGTGTTAAAGCTAATTAGTAAAACAAAACAGGGATTTTAAGGGTGTTTTACTTGGATGAAGGCATTCAGCGCTTCCTCACAGAGATCTCCCGTCACTTCAAACGTCACTGTTAAAATAGTCTGAYGAAAAGAAAAGATCACTACAATAAGTTTTTAACTTGTTTTCTTTAAGGATTTATTTGTTCACAGAAACTATAAGATAACGAGAGTCATGAACAAAAAGAGGCCATTTTTTACGCCCCAGCTGGAGACTTTGTCAGTGAATGTGCCAAAAACCACAACTTCTCGTGGCACCTGACCTAACCCTGGAGTTCTTTCCCACACACTCCCCTCTGCAAGACTTCCTCACAGCATTAAAAAAAAGGGCACTTTGCAGATATTTAGGGGTTCGTGTTGAAGTGCTAGGGTCACACACTTCCTTGTCATTTGGTATAACAACAGAAAAACAGCCTTCTCATTTACATGAAAAGGGGGACGCGATGGTCGGGGTTTGTGTCTATGAGAGGGGAGGGATCCGAGGAACAGTGTGGGGCTTAACGCGGGAAAGAAAACCTGGGAGAAAACTGACAACAATGCTGTTATTTACCCACACAAATAACCCTCATCTGTCCTCATCCTGTGATAAAAGTTCACGGGTATAAAGGCCACCTGAAGACAATATGAGGCCCGACTGCAGCCGTGTCACTTGCTCTGATGAGGTTTAACTAAAAACACTATATATATA